CCAGAAGTCCAAAATCAAGCTGTTTGCAGAGCCATGTTCTCTCTCTGAAGGTTCCAGGGGCGCATCCTTCTTCGCCTCTTCCTGGCTTCTGGTGGCTGCTGACTATCCCTGGTTTGCAGCTGCACCACTCCAGTCTCTGCCTCCATCAACCTGTGACATTCTTCCTTGTGTGTCTGTATGTCTGTGCGTCTTCACGTGGCCTTCTTACAAGGACACTGCTGTTGGATTTAGAAATCCAGTATGATCTCATCCTAACTAGTTACATATGTAAAACTCTACTTCCAAATAAGGTCACGTTCTTAGGTTTCATGTGGATATGAACATGGAAGGGGAGGACAAAACTCAACCCAGCACAACTGGGTAAGGGAGCTGCTGCAGCAGGGCCCTGTGAGCGATACAGTGGTAACCAGGGTGGGAGGTAATGACCAGTGATTAGACTCGGGGAAACTGTTAAAGGGTGAACCCGCAGACTTCACTAATGGAGTTAATGTGGGATACAAGCGAATGAAAGAATTTAGGGATGACACCAAGATTTTTGACCTAAGCAGCTAACTACCAGCATGCAATTTCCATTTGTGGAGATGGCAGGGGAGCAGGTTTTGGAGGAGAGATAATCAGTTCTGGTTTGGATAGATTTTGAGATGCCTTGTTTCCTATTTCAAAGAGAAAACAGGATCCACTGGGCAGAGGCCCCTGTATTTCCTTCCCCCAAAGCTACAGACTTCCCTGCACCTCTCCCCTCTCTTTCCTCCTTCCCCTCTGGTTGAAGTTGAAGTTCAGCCACTGCTCCCAGGCTCCAGATCCCATCCTCTCTGCCCTCCTCATGCTTCAGCACCCAAGTCCTGACAGCTTCTCAGTAGATGCCTTCTCCAGCTGCCCCAGGGACACCCGACTGCGCCTGTGGACCACCACCTCCCTTCACTCACCTGTAACCTGACGTGTACAACACGATGGCACAGCCCTACTCTGCATCTTCCTGCGAACCTGGGTCTTTCCATGGTCTCTGTGGATGGTGTCTGGCACATGGAGGGTGCTTCGTCAATGTTTGCGCTGCATGCAGATTAGTGGTTGAAAAGAGACAGAATGGATATAGGTGCAAGTTTTTATATATTGGAAAAGATTTTTAAACAAAGTATTTCCAGCGTATCCTTTTACCATGAATGGCTTTGAAATTTAAGACAGTCTGAGTTTGAATTTCAGTATTCACAATTGAAAGTTCATTTTTTGTATCATAACTCATTGCATACTAGGATTTTAATGATTTTTAAGCAGTGAATTCAATTCTCTAAATGCACTCCCTCCACCTTCTACCCAGAGTGTTTGAGTTTCTATGTAATCATTTTGTGGACTGTATATTTTGTTGAGTGGAAATCCTGCCAAATCCTTATCTCAGCATCGATTTGGGTCATGTATGTGTATGTGTGTGTGTA